GTACATTACAAAAACTGTATACCTAGTCTCTGTTTTTCAGCAAATTATGGTGGATAATAAGTAAAGATATAGTGTCCCCCCCCTTTAGTTGTTTCAGCAGTAAACAATAGGAAAAAAACAATACTCACTTGCTATTCTGAATGTGTTAATTTTTGCTCATTGGATCAGTTAAAAAAACCTGTCCCTTTGTTCAGGAAACTGAGGCATTGCTGTGTTAAGTATAAGCTTTATTCTCTCTCTCTCTCTCTCTCTCTCTCTCTCACACACACACACACACACACACACACACACACACACATCTTGCAAGTCAGGAAGAGAACAAAACCTTTCTGTTTTCAAGTACTTATAGGTGGCACAGAGGCAGAGATAAGGCTGCAATCCTTTATATACTTACCTAGAAAACAATGGAACTTACTTCTGAGAATACATGCCTAGGATTATGCTATAAGTCTCTTTCACTGCTCTTATTTACAACCATCAAATGGACAATTGCAAAGCTAAAACTAAAGGCTTGATAAGCTGTAGCTAAGGAGCAGAGCACATGCTTTGCATGAAATAGACCAAGGTTCAATCTCCGGAATTTCTAAGCAGTGCTGCGAAAAACCCTTGTCTAAGACCCTGCCAGACAGTTCAGACAATGCTGAGCTAGATAGACCAATGGTCTGACTTCAGTCCCTGGCATAACACTCAGAGTTGGTCTGAGGAGATAGACTGTGATGGTAAATTTCATCCCCTGATTTTTGCCCCCACCCAGAAAATATCCAATATGCCTTCACTGCCTTTACAGCCTATGCATGGGGGCACAAAACTGGAAGGAGAAAATCTCAGGCTAGAGTTGCTACCTGTCCCTATAAAAAATGGGATCGTCCTGGTTTTGGACAAAAGTGTATCCCCTTAAGTGTAGGTGGGTTCTCACAAGGCAAGACATAGTGATAACAGCAAGAACCTTTATTGAACTATAGAGCAGGACAACAGGGGCAAAGCAACTGCTTATATACATTTCTGAAGGCCTGGGCCACGTCCAGCCCAACGTGATTGGCTGCCTAAACTTCCAAGCTGCGAATCATAAGTCAGAGTTTAAGGGCCAATGGCAGAGGCCCAAATCCTGAAATGTTCTGTGACTGGATATCAGGTATCAAATCGGAACACAGGGGCTCAGAATCCTTAGTCCAGACTCAAGCTCAGGCAACACAGACCACTGACTACAGTGGTACCTCAGGTTAGATGCTTCAGGTTACAGACTCCGCTAACCAGAAATAGTACCTCGGGTTAAGAACTTTGCTTCAGGATGAGAACAGAAACTATGCTCTGGCGGCGCGGCAGCGGGAGGCCCCATTAGCTAAAGTGGTACCTCAGGTTAAGAACAGTTTCAGGTTAAGTACGGACCTCCAGAATGAATTAAGTTCTTAACCTGAGGTACCACTGTACATAATATCCCCTTTCCCATTTGGACTTCAAACAGAACGCCTTTTCCTCCACATTTGAGCTCAGCCAGCCCCAAATGGCAGTTGCATCGCTGTTGGTGTGGCTGACAAGGAGCCCAGCCCAGCACAAGGGACAAAAGGTGAAAGGAGCAACCTCTTCTCCCTCCCTCTTGCTGGTGCTCCTCCTCTGCTGCCGCCCCCAAGTCTAGCATGGTGTGGGGCTGCCACTGCTCAGCCCCCTCTGCCACCCTGACCTAACCTCTCCTCCTCCCCACACTCTAGTCTCTTCTGATACCAGCATGGGCAAGAGGCTGGAGCTTCATCTCAAGTCGCCTGTGGGAGCTGGCAATCTATCCCTGGCCCCTGCCTATCTATGCAAGTTGAGGGAAAGAGCAGGGCCAAAATGGTGAGGGAAGCGGGAGACCAAATGCGGGTAATCCCCCTCCACAATGTGGGGGAGGATTTGGTGCCATGAGAGTATGTGTGACCCTCCCACCCCCACCCCGACCAGTCCTTTATTTTGCGTGACCTGTCTCATATTTTGCCTAACCAAAGGTGCCAACCCAATTTTAGACCATACCAGAAAACTAACCCATAGAAGATTGCTCTATTTTCAATGTTTTGATTTTACAACATGTTCGTGTTTACTTCTAGTCACACACAAAGTATCCTTATACCTGAAAACATTAAAAGATCTAATACTGTTTGCTCAGCGAAAGGACTGAAATAAGCTGTGCTTTTTAAAAAATTAGGCAGTCAATACCTAGCTGTACTTAATGTTCCTTCCCTTCTATTATATTTTAGACAAGATTGAAATGCACAAAGGGAATAAAATTTAAATTTGTTGAGTTAAAAGTCGATTAAGCTCTCATAGTGCTGTCTTGTAGGAGAAACCAGGATTTTCGATTCTCAGGTCCAAGAGGGACATCTAGTGGGAGCAGAAAGTATTGATTTATAGACCATTCTAGCTTGAGGAACGAAAAGAGAGAGAGAGCAAGAGAGCAAAAGATTGAGGAAGGGAATAAAAAAGACATGAAAGGGAACAACAAATTACAACTGCCCTCCTCTAGAAATATAATTATTTCAGTAAAATCTTCTCTGGAGGTCACAGATTTGGAGAGTGTGTTATAGAATTCCTAGTTGTCATAATTAGATTTTATTAATACCCAGAAAATGATCAGCTTCCAACTGCAGTAGCAAGTTAAAGATGCATTGTTTCTGAAACCTACTGTCATTTTGCAATGGAACAGGAAGATTTCCTTATGAAACCGAGCTACAACAATATATAGCTACCTTCATTACCCAGTCCATTCTTCCCTTCCAACTATCTACTTTAGCTTCTCCAGGTCTTCTCCCTATTTCCAATACTGTCTGGCTTTTCTATGCAATTATAAGTAGAACAGAATAGATTTTTACCACCATTACACACACAGAGAGAGACACTATCCATAAGAAATGTACTCAAGTGTTTTAAAATAACACCTGGTTTTGAAATTTTAAAGCAATAAAGCACAATTCCCAAAAAAAATAGTAATACCAAGATAGTGTAATTATATAGTACATGTCTTAGCTAAATATTAACTGTACATGGTGCAACTTTCAATCACACACCTTACTACTCTCTAGGTGCAAATAAAAACACTGAACTGCAAAAGAATGCCTTTTATTTTCACCAGCCTACTGCAACCTTGAAACAATGTGGCTTTCTTTATTTTCCTCTCCAGTGCCATAAACCATGGTTACTTCCTTAGCTGCAGCAGCTCATAAACATTTTTTGTCTGGAAGCTGCACTATGTAAACTATACCCTCAACTTTCATTATTATTAAGCCCTGCATTTGGATGTGAACACTGTGAATGGGGCAATATAAATCTAATGTGACCTCTGTGGGTGTAGTAGTTTCTTTCCCACCATCCCTATGCGCCTGCATAGCATTACTCTGTGAGTCATTCACCCCTTGAAAAGGACTTCTACACCTTTCTAGCAGTGTTTCAAAGTTACCAAAGAAGTATGACCTACTGGAACTGCTGGCCTTCACCAAAATATACATGCTCACAGGATAATTCAGTGATTGTTTTGGATGCAAATGCCTTTCCCCCCTAAATTCTGCCTAAAGGTATCCAACCACACCTCCTTCGCAGGAGCCTACATTTCAGTTAGAAGAGATTTATGGCATATATTTGTAACAGTGGGGTGTACGGGTGTTAAGGGAGAGGTACCTCTCATGGGGGGGCACTTTGTGCTCCTTCTGGAAGAGTTTGTACACCTTGCACTCAGTTCTCACCTGTGGCTCCTAGAAGCTGTCAACATGTGGACAGCGGCCACACTCTGGAAAACAGCTTCTACTGGCTGGCTAACCCAGGTGAAGGTACCCGATGGGTCTGAAGTCAAACCCTGGCAAATTGAGCAAATGAAACCAATAGTGGGTTCAATGGTCAAGAAGGCAGTTTCTGCATGTGCTGTAGAGGGAGGTGAGAGGCAGGTGGGGCTCATTCTGGAAAGGTAGCTCATCTAGGAGAAGACTGTTTCTGATCCTAAATCTTGTATCTTCAGAAGAAGAAAAGGCTAAGGATTAAACCCTACACAAATCTGGAGCAGAGTCCCTAAAACAGCTGGACTGCAGACAAGCTGGTGCCAAACATTTTGCTCTGCTTTCCTTTGGGACCACATCAGCGAGGCCGAGAGGGGGGTCTTGTTGTCTGGGCAGCCCAGGACCTCCGTACACACCAACCAGGCTTGTGCCTCACAGAGAAGTCACTTCGGTGCTGTTAATGCAGCAGTTTGACTTCACTGTCTCTCTAGACAGCCAGAGACCAACCACAGACCTGTGTGCCCGTATTCATTCATGACCCTTGTTAATTCCCCGTGGTCATCATAAGCTAACTGCAACTACAGTTGTACCTCAGAAGTTGAACAGAACCCATTCTGGAAGTCTGTTCGACTTCCAAAAACTTCGAAAACCAAGGTACGGCTTCTGATTGGCTGCAGGAAGGTACTGCAGCCAATTGGAACCTGCGTCGGACATTCAGGTTCCAAAGAATATTCACAAACCGTAACACTCAGTCCAGGTTTGCAGTGTTTGGGAGCCAAAACGTTCCAACTCACAAGGTGTTTGACCTCTGAGGCACAACTTTACTTCGGAGCCACCTCACAATGCATTCCCAGTCTCAACAGAAGGGGGGGGCTTTCAAACCTAATAACTATCTCCACCCCTATTAATCATCATCATCATCATCTGTCCCCCCCTTTTGTAGCCAACACAGCACCATCCACGTGAAGAAATATATCTCAGCAGGCTGAGGGGAAGACTTTCTGCACTTGTGAGTTACCTACACCTAAAAGATCCGCTCAAAGCAGACTGGTTTTTTTCTTTATTACATAACGGTGACACAGCTGTACTGATGCAATAAGCGCGCGTCCCTCGCGCTGCCCACGACGCGGGCAAAAACAACCGTCCTCGACGCAAGAACTGGCCGTCATGGCCACGCCCCCGTGGCACACGCATGCGTGCGGGCGCACAAACACGGAGAGGAAGAAGGCGGGGGGCAGGGAGCTCGGCTTGCTGAGCGGCCGTTACCTTCCCAGACAGCGTCCCCCGTCTCGTGCCGCCTGAGGAATTTGTACCAGAAGGTGCACACGGCCTCGTCCTCGCGCAGCGCCGCCTCCACGAGCCACAGGACCGGCTCCTGAGCGGGCAAGGGAGCCAGCGGCCTCGCGGGCTTCATGGTCAGCGCCTGCTTGGGGTCCCACTGGCCCAGCTCGGGCCGGGAACCCGAGACACACAGCGCCGTGCCGCCTTCGGCTAGCCGGGCGGGCACGACGACCCCGAAGCGGAACAGCATGGCAGAAGCCGGCGGCGACGGAGCAGGCAGAGAGTGTGGTTGTCGGGCTCCTTCACGCCGACGTCACTTCGGCCTCCGTGAGGCGCTGCCAGTCCGCGCTCCGCTACCGAAAAGGGAATGCGAGCCGGCGGCGAAAGAGCGGACGGAGCAGGACACGTGACACTTCGGGAACCCGTTATAAAGGCCTCTCGCGCCGCCTGTTAATTTTATTTTAAAGCCCCCTGCAAACTCGCAAAGGACCAGCGCTTCTCGAAGGGAGCGAGGCTCGGCTTGCGTTGTATTTGTTCCACGTTTCACTTTCACCTCACCTTTCCCTCAAAGGGCCTCAATGCGGCAGACACTGGTTCTCCCTCTCCTCATTTAATCCCCACAACCACCCTGCCAGGTAGTTTAGCCTGACTGGCAGTGCTCGCCGCAACGTCATCCAGGGAGCTTCCTGGGCCAGGAGGGATTTGAACTCTGGTCTCCCAGATCCGACGCTGCATCACACTGAATCTCCTATAGGGCTCAGGAAGAGAAGGCAAGCAAGTGGAGGGGCAGCTGTGTCGGCTCTCCTGTAGGCTTGTGCGCAGGGAGAGGAAGGAAGGTCTGGTCACTTTGAGTGTCAAGCAACTGGTCCATTAAGCTCAGTGTACCGATAGCATCTCCCCACGGTTGCAGGCAGTAGCCGGTCCCTGGGGATGCCCTGGATCCAGCCAGTATGTGCTAAGCAAATATTCTAGTGCTGAAATGTGTCCTTCCCTGCACAGCTCCAGGAGTTGCAACTCATTCCTACCATCTTGTTCACACATGGTGGTGATCAGGGGTCCCTGGGTTGTGGCCATTAGGGTTGAGTCCAGTGTGCTTGGTTTTCCACAGCTGCAGCTTAAGAGGGAAGTGGGTGGAAGGGTTAGATGGGGATAGAGGCGGCATAGCATGTCCCCTACTGCATATAGCTGCCTGCCAGGCCAAGTTGCTGAGCCCACATACACTGTATATAAGAACACTACAAAATAACCTGGAGGGTGGGGAGAAAAGACAAAAATCCATTGGATTGCTACTTGGGACTGAACAAAAGTGGAAAGTGAATTGTTCATTACTCAGTACATCTCTTGAAGAATTCCAGAAAATTCACGGTTTGCTTCCTGAGAAAATCATTGTACTTAGCAGCTTTGGAAAACTAACAATAAATCACAGCTATACTCTCAGTTTCAGACCCAAATTGGTTCAATAGGAACCTAGGGAGTTGTCTTATATAGCCATGCCATCAGTCCATTTAGCAGAGTATTGTCTCAGCTACGCTAGCTATACTGTCAGCAACCCTCCAGGATTTCAGAGGATACTCCCAGCCCATTGTGGAGATTGAGCCTAGGACCTTCCGCTTGCAAAGCAAATGCTCTACCTCCCACCTCCATACTATTTGTTGTTGTCGTTTAGTCGTGTCCGACTCTTCGTGACCCCATGGACCAGAGCACGCCAGGCACCTCTGTCCTCCACTACCTCCCACAATTTGGTCAAACTCATGCTGGTAACCTCAAAAACACTATCCAACCATCTCGTCCTCTGTCGCCCCCTTCTCCTTGTGCCCTCCATCTTTCCCAGCATCAGTGTCTTCTCCAGGGAGTCTTCTCTTCTCATGAGGTGGCCAAAGTATTGGAGCCTCAGCTTCATGATCTCCATACTATGGCCTAGCACAAATAGCATGAGGATCATTAGCACAAAACACAACATCCTAGATCAAGGGAAAGCATGCACTAAAGAGAGAAATGGCAAATACATTTTATTAAGATTATGACAGACATTGCAAAAAATGGAATTAACTGAAAACATTCAAAGGAGTGTGGGGTTGGTGAGAGAAAGGAATAGCTAGAAAATGTAAATAAAGGCAACCAATTGGAACAAAGTACTGGGGCAGACTTGTGTATTTAAAATAACAAGGTACAGTACAGGAGAAAAAGTCAAGTATTGAAAAACTACATGCCACTGTTTTGTTTAAAAACTGCATAGCAGTATGAAATACTGATATCCTAGATTTGCATTGAATTTCTGCACACACAAGAGTATACCAAACAGAATTATTTAGCATTAATGTTTTAATAGCTCTGGATTAAAGTTTAAAAAAACCCACAGTATCTAAATTTCAAAGTAAAAGTGCACAGTATTGAGAATGAAGTGTTCAAAAAGCTAAATGTGGAAAAATGAATCAATTTTCCTCACAGGTACAATTACTTTTAGAGCTAGGGAGCCTTCTAGTGTAAAAGGCCTCGTGTTACAATATTTGTCTCAAAGAGGCCAGGGCATATTTTTGCCTATCTCTATATTTAACCCCCCCCCAAAAAAAACCCCCACAGTAAGTACACACTGGTGAGATATCTGATGGTTAAAGATTAGTGTATACGGAAGTATCTTGTAAAAGCTGTGGAATGGACATTCTTGGTTGTTCCTGGGCTTACATCTCTGTTTTGGAGAATGGCAAGTTCCCACAGATTCTTGAAGAAATGTCTATACCTGGGTACTAGAGATTTATTGGTTGTAAGAGCAGTATACATGAATTTACAAAGAATGTTCATAATAATGTCCCCTTCTCAAGTTTTAAAACAACTAAAATTAGAAGTGTTCTATTGATTGAAGAAAAATTATGCAGGGTTAAAGGAAAATTCTCTAGACCCTTCGAAGAGAAAGGCAGCTTTGTGAGAAAAGTTAACTGATCCCAAGATGCACGCATTACCAAAAGCCATGTAGAGCAAGCATTTGTGTTCCTTAATGGTATCTATATATGGCACTAGAGAATGAGGCTGAGGTTTGTTTTTCAAAAAATGGGGCAACTTGTTATGAAAAAGGCAATTATTTCCCAGATTGGAGTCATATATGCTGAACATATGAACTCCTGGATCAAGTACTTAAATGATTTCATTATAAACATTTCAAATGTAGCCATTTTTGTAGCCATTTTTATAACCATCTTTTTTTTCAAAATGGAACACCCTTTTAATACAATCTTGGTTTTAGTCTATGGCACAAGCTCAAACTAGCAGTATGGTATAAAGAGAGTTATGGTAGTATAGTTAAAGGCATTCTTATAATTACAGTAAACATTCAACACAATGTCCTCATTATGGAAGACTGGAAAACCATGGAGTCATGATAAAGATGAACATGCATTTAAGATATGCTGTTTGCAATGAACAGGTTTTCATCTTATAAAGATGGCATGACACCTCTAGCCTAAAAGCATTTGCTTAGAAGCAAATTCCAAATTTCAGTGGAACCAACTTCAAAGTGTGCTCAGAATCAAGAGTCCTATGCAATTTAAAATAGCCTGGAAGCAACTAGTACATTTGTAGACATGTTAACAATAAAATGTATTACACTGAAACCACAAAACAAGCCCTTCATTAGATCAATGAATTAAAAATTGTGGATCCTTTGTAGCTAATTTACAACAAGCAACATGAATTTTGTTCAAGTTCACCTTTTATCAATCTTTGCCAACAGAAGATGGGAGAAAATTTATTAATCCAAAATGCTAGTCTAGCTATACATTTAAGTCTGAAATAAAATTAACTTTTGTTCCATTACACCAGAGCTGGGGAACCTGTGGCTGAACTGCAGTTTCCATCATCCCTGATTTCTGGCCATGCTGGCTAGTTCTGATGGGAACTGGAGTGCAGAAACATCTGTAGGGCTAAAGGTTCCCCAGCCCTACATCAGACTCTTAGTTGCAGCAGCCTTTGTTGACCATCAAGTAAAAGTGTCATTAAAAGGAATTCTGCTTCATTAAAATCTGGAGTTAGTTAACGGACTTCAAAGAGCTTTGATTGCGCACCTTACTTACTTGCATCAACACCAAAAGCACCCAACCTATGTAAGTCTCCTCAACTAGAAACTTAACTAGAAACAGTGTTACATACCACTGAGTCAGCTTAAATGAGCACAGCAATCTTTCGGAAATGGAAAAGATTGTTCAAAATATGCACTGCTAAATGCTAAGTAGCATTCAGCTTCTCACTTGTATCCTTATTTGTAAAGAGACCAAATATATGCTGTTTGGTCAGATTCCTGTTTATACAATTGTTCCGGTCTGAATGTGCATACCTCTAGAAGTGAATAAAAAGAAACAGAACCGTAAGTCAGAGAAATCCTTAATGAAAAGTTTACAGATAGGAGTTTTATATAAACTACCCTGTCCAGCAAGTTCCATTGTTTCAAACATTAAGGCAACTTTCATTAATTCTAAGCAGACAGTATTATAAAAAATAAATGCCACTTCAAAAATTTATGTACATAATGACAGAGTAGATTTACCTAGAATTTGTATTTAGTAAATTAATAAAGTGTCACAAAGTATTACATAGAGGTTACATCAGGTGCTTGAGTGTATGTGCAATTGGAGTAAATTCTTCGTGTTTAAAGTACAGGTTTCAAGACAGAGCGCAGTGACCGTCCTTCTTTTGTAAGTTCTCGTGTGACACACATACATGGTAGTGGTACAGCTTCCTCCCGTCTCTCTACAGCATTATAACTGCATTTCTTCAAGTGGTCAGCCATGCTTACAATGTCAGCAAATTTCCATTCGTTTACAGTACAAAAAGCTGTGCTGAATCGCCACACCTAGAAAATAAATTTTTCTTATCAAAGTGCATTTAGTTCTGCTTTTTCAGGGTTCAAAGACTGCATTTATAAGTATTTGGAAGCAGTGTTTCCCAACTACTAAGTGCATGGCAGTACAGCAGCAAACACAAAACCCTAAGTTCATAAGACAATACAGTGGTCTGATCAAGAAGCTACAGTTTTATTATCAAAACTGTTCCCCCAGCTCCTCATCCTCCTTTTTGGTATGGGAGGTAACTGGCCAACATTGCAACTGCAATTGATTTTTTTGCTAACCAGTTACTGCCAAACCATGGTTTTAAAATATATTCAGATGAGGGTTTGATTATCAGGTGTTGGTGTACAGGTGAAACTCGAAAAATTAGAATATCATGGAATCATATCATTAGAATATCATTTATTTCAGTAATTCAACTTAAAAGGTGAAACTAATATACGAGATAGGGACGCAGGTGGCGCTGTGGGTTAAACCACAGAGCCTAGGACTTGCTGATCAGAAGGTTGGCGGTTCGAATCCCTGCTGCGGGGTGAGCTCCCGTTGCTCAGTCCCTGCTCCTGCCAACCTAGTAGTTTGAAAGCACGTCAAAGTGCAAGTAGATAAATAGGTACCGCTCCGGTGGGAAGGTAAACGGCGTTTTTGTGCGCTGCTCTGGTTCGCCAGAAGCAGCTTAGTCATGCTGGCCACATGACCCAGAAACTCTACGCCGGCTCCCTCGGCCAATAAAGCGAGATGAGCACCGCAACCCTAGAATCAGTCACGACTGGACCTAATGGTCAGGGGCCCTTTACCCTTTACCTAATATATGAGATAGACTCATGACATGCAGAGCGAGATATGTCAAGCCTTTATTTGTTATAATTGTGATGATTATGG